CACCCCAGGGTACTCAAGGAGCTAGCAAGCATCATAGCCCAGCCCCTGGCACGGATCTTTGAAAACTCCTGGTGCTCTGGTGTAGTGCCTGAAGACTGGAAGAAGGCCAGCGCGGTACCTATCTTCAAGAAAGGGAGGAAAGGGGATCTGGCTAACTATAGGCCCATCAGCCTGACTTCTATCTCGGGAAAGGTCTTAGAAAAGTTTATTAAAGAGGCCATTCTTAATGGGCTGGCCAGCACCAACATCCTGAGGGATAGCCAGCACGGGTTTGGTGAGGGTAGGTCTTGCTTGACCAATCTCATTTCCTTTTATGACCAGGTGACCTATCACCTGGGCAAGGGAGAAGAGATTGATGTCATATATCTTGACTTCAAAAAAGCATTTGATCTGGTATCCCTTGGTCACCTCTTGGCGAAACTGGCCAATGGGTCCACCACAATCCGCTGGCTGGGAATTTGGCTCCGTGGTCGGGCCCAGAGGGTAGTAATTGACGGAAGTCAATCGTTATGGTGCCCTGTGACCAGTGGGGTCCCCCAAGGCTTTGTCCTTGGACCCATATTGTTCAACATCTTCACTAATGATGTGGACATTGGAGTCAGGAGCGGACTGGTCAAGTTTGCCGATGACACCATACTTTGGGGCAAAGCACATCAGAAGACAGGCAGGCGATCCAGGCTGACCTGGACAGGCTCAGCAAATGGGCGGACGAGAACCTGATGGTGTTTAACTCTGAAAAATGCAAGGTTCTTCACCTTGGGAAGAAAAACCTGCGGCATCCTTATTGGCTTGGCAGTTCTACGTGGGCTAGCACTATGGAAGAAAGAGACTTGGGGGGTCATCATTGACCCCAAGATGAACATGAGCATGCAATGTGATGCTGCGGCTAGTAAAGCGACCAAAACGCTGGCTTGCATCCATAGGTGCTTCTCAAGTAAATCCCGGGATGTCAGTCTCCCCTTGTACTTGGCCTTGGTGAGGCTGCAGCTGGAGTACTGCATCCAGTTTTGGGCTCTACAATTTAAAAAGGATGTGGAGAAGCTTGAAAGAGTCCAGAGAAAAGCCACGCATATGATCAGAGGTCAGGAAAACAGACCTTATGATGACAGGCTGAGAGCCATGGGGCTCTTTAGCCTGGAAAAGCACAGGCTCGGGGTGATCTGATGGCCACCTGTAAGTTTATCAGGAGTGACCACCAGTATCTGGGGGAATGTTTGTTCACCAGAGCACCCTAGGGGATGATGAGGTCAAACAGTTATAAACTACTGCAAGACCGTTTCAGACTGGATAGAAGAAGAATTTCTTTACAGTCCGAGCCCCAAGGTCTGACTTCTTGCCCTTTGGGTGGGGGCCTGGACTCTATGATCTTCTAAGGTCTCTTCCAGCCCTAATGTCTATGAAATCTATGAAGCTGTAGAAAGAAAATGCCACAAATAGTCCAAAAAGGAGGAATATATGCTGTTTGCCTAGTTTCATGGTACTCTTTTTATTTATTTATTTATTTTTAATATTGCTGCTTTCCAAAATAAAAATTGGAAGAATCTACAAGTTTGTTGTGTAGGCTTGATTATTTCGAAGTGATAGTCAGGCAGGGACTTTTGGAGGAGTGACAACTGTACCAAGATGAGACTGTTGATAGTAATGCTGCCTCTGATACCTAGAGTAAATGGTAAGAGAGCTGAAGTTAAAACAATCTTTTTAAGTTCCAAGTGCAGTTTCCCATATCTGGTTCAACATATACAGGGCATGTTATGAGAATCATTTTCTTTTTTGAGAGAAATTTAATTTTCTTAGCCAGATCGATAGGAGGAGGCAGAAAAGGAGAAAATGTAGTAGTGTTGCAAATAAAGCCTTGTATATCAGGTAAAGGAGGATAGAAAACTTAATGGGTTAACGTGGGGACCTTAATTACTGTATATAATTTAAATGGGATGTACTAATTAATCTATTTGGACAACACACTAGAGAAGGCTAAAGACGCTTTCTTTTGCACAGTAGCAGTTCTTATTTCCTTTAATGTGCTCCAACTTGTCAGAAGTCTTACAGTTGAAGAGGCCCTGTAAAGACCAAGTCCAACAGTTTTTAATATTTTAGGATATCTCGAGCGTGGAGCTAGCCTATTAAATCTGATGCCTAGTCTGCCCTAGACTTTGAAGAGCTGCTTACAAAATAGCTGTTTCTAACACAACCGGCATTAAAGTTCTTGGAATTTTCCAGTTTGAAAGTCTAAAGCTGAAAATGGGTGTGATCCAAGTGCAAAATTAAAAGGTTATACTTGTAACAGAGACTAAGTATAATAGATGCACCTTATCTCATGAATCTGTTATTCTTAGTTGGCATAAGTGTAACCTTTTAAAAATATTTATACTTAGATTTGGAAGAGTTTTTTAGGTATATACCTATTTGATAAACCTAAGCACTGAATACAGTTAATGTTTACTATGTTCTTGGTAAGGAGGCTTAAGGAGGTATAATCTCCTTCCTGGTTCAGAGTATGTATATAGTCCAGAAGTTTACCTCCTTTCTGGCATGTTTCCTGTGCAAGAACTGAGAAATTTCTAGTGTCATACATGTTTCCCCCCTCCAATTCCAAAAATATCAGCTAGCCTATTAAAGGTGTTTGAAAATTGAGGTACACACAAATCTAGTGAGAAGTATGTAACAGGCACTTATACCATAACATGTGTGATATAAAGGCTGGAATGATAGGAAATATAATTACTTTTTCATGCTCAAGTTGTTTAAAAAAATTTGTTTAAATGTTCAGTAACTTAATCTTGATAGCAGTTCTGGTTTAATCATGCTGTAACTGTCTTTAGTTTCCTTAAAGGAGACATGTTTATTGTCCATAATGAACTGGAAGATGGCTGGATGTGGGTTACAAACCTACGGACAGATGAACAAGGCCTTATTGTAGAGGACCTAGTGGAAGAAGTGGTAAGTTTAATTTCAAATACATAAATTTGTCCCTAAATATGGGTTCCCTAAGCACATAAATAACCCAGGAAGAAATGCAAAACTCTAGAACTGTTGGTTCAGAGATGATACCTTTTATTGGACCAACTAAGAAATCGCAAAAAAAAATCTTTTTCTGCTAATACATCCCTAAATAACCAAGGGGCATAGTATTTATTCAGCCAGACTTTAGATTTTGTTTTAAATTGTAATAACTCATTTTTGATGCATCAAAATATAGCTTCTCTTTGAGTCTAGTTTCTGCCAAATTGTCTCTTGGCAAGCAAGTTAATCCTTGAGATATAGTTATCTATCTATCTATCTATCTATCCATAGATACTGTGGTACCAAATCTCTCTCTCCCCCTTCCCCATCTGCCCCTCCCTCCCCCCCCCCTTGATATGTATAGATATCTATATCTAGATATAGATATATATGAACACATTCACAATGCGCACAATGCGCATCTATCTCTAGATAGATAGATAGATAGATAGATAGATAGATAGAGGTGCCTGGCATTGTGAATGTGTTCATAGACAGTTCTCTAAACCCAGGCAGTCCAAGCAATAGAAGAGGATCTGTCAGTCATTTTTATTGTGTTGTGGTATAATTTGGTACCACAGTACCTCTCCTTTTGAAAGATGCAAACTTATCAAGTGTTTAAAAAGGCTCAGTTTTCCCCCTGCTCAGAACTCCAGTTTGGGATGGCTTGTCAAGGGAGTATTTCAATTGGAGAGTGAACTGCCATTCAATCATTTTCTGATTTAAACACCAGCCTATCCTAGGCTCAGCATTAGTTAGGGCTGTGAAGCTGACTTGAAGGGACCAGCTGCCAAGGGAAAATTGTCTAACTGAAACTCCCTTGGATTACTGTCAGCTTGGTCTCGTTACTAGAGGTGTACCAATAGAGATTTTTTGGGCTGATACTGATGGCCAATTTTTAGCAAGCTGTATTGGCCAATACCGATCCAATTCTGATATGCAGCTGGAGAGCAGCGTCTGACTGGTTGGTCTGTTGTGAGGGGAGAAAAGGGGCATGGGGAGTACAGATAGAGGCCCCCACAGTGAGGGAAGAAATGGGGCTGGGGCAGGCGCTGCACAGCTAGGGTGGAGTGCAGAACCAGGGTGGCTCCTGCCGCTGCATGCTCCCATGGAGGGCATGTGCCCCCAGATCTGTGTGCAGGGTGAGGGCGGGCTGCCACTGCAGGCTGGGACTGGGCTCTTGCCAGTGTGGGGGGCTGGGCTGTGCTCAGGGCAGGCGGCAGTGGTGCTGTCACGTGCCCTGCCCCCTGGCTATGCAGCACCTGTCCCAGCCCCAGCACCACTCCCTTCTTCGCCGCAGGGGCTTTGATCTGCCCCCCGCTCCCTCCCAACGTCCCTTCCCTCACAACAGACTTACCAGCTGGACCCCACCGCTCACCATGCTGCTGGGCTGTGCTCTTTGCCACCTGCATGCTGCGCTGCGGCTGTGTGCATGCATAGGGCATTTATTGGCCACATTATCGGCCACACCAGCCAAAAAAAAGCCAATTACCGATACTGTCACTTTTCCTTATATCAATGCCAATCTGATATGGGACCAATGCATCGGTGCACCTCTACTTGTTACATAACTTCTCTGTTTTGTCAATCTCATTTGTCAGCAGTAAAGGTAATTTTACTGCCCTGCCGGCTTGATGCTACTCAGCAGCTGAGTGACACAAAGCAAATTGATTGTATTGGAAATTCTAGGCTGTGGACTTTTCTATTGCCAGGTCAGCAGTTCAGATAGATCTCAGATAAGTAGGGGGTTTTTTGGTTATGTGATGTTGCTTAATTTCCAGTTGCTAGTTAGCAGATACCTACTTTGCCAAAACTAATTGCCCTACCTTCACCACCAGGAATTGGTGTCAACTGGTGTCCACAACATGGGCATGGATACTGAATGGTGTTCTCGTTGTTAAGAGAGTTAAATAAGTCTTACATTTATAGTTTGATGGGGGGAAACGTGTGATGCTTCTGCTATTGTTTTTGTTTTGGATTTTTCCCCCGTGGATAAATATATTTCAGTCTACAGAACTGTCAGTCTTGCAATCTTTTGCAAGTATTATATCAATGCAAATAAGTAGTTGATAAGGACAGTTAATTTCTCATGTATAATTTTTCTGGAGTACCTTTTTTAATATTAATGCAAATGATGAAAAGTTTGTTGCAGCCTCCTATTGTGATTTATTTAAGTGACGGTGCATATAATCTGACCTGAGGAAGCTGATAGCCTGCATTGTGCTAGCCCAGCCATGTCTCCTCTGGTTGCATCATCTCTTGCTGTCCCAAGGTAGATGCAATACATATACTATGATTTTTAATATAGTTGATGCAGCACATTTAATTTTTAGGAGACTGTTTCAGAGTGAAGGCACAGTCTGCCTGAAGGAAACCATTGTTATAGATGTGCGACAGTGGCAGATGGTGGAACTGGTAGGGTGACTTCATGCAGTGGACTGTTGCAAAATCTGCTTAGTATGAGTTTACCACGTTTACAGAAGATGTCTGCACTGGTTTAACTCTACCAGTGTAGCTAAACTAATCCAAATTTATTTTATAAAGCAAAACTTTAATAAACGCAACAATAAATTTCCTCTGATCATAAGAAATGTTGCCTTCTTTTTCTTAAGTTTAGCCATACACTTTTGCTGTCTCTGTCAGTTTTCTTCCTAGAGCTGTGTAATAGCCATGTTAGCTGAAGAAGGCTCAATTTCAAAGTACTGTAATTCTTAAAGCATTTTTCATCCATACAGATAATCTAAATTTAGAAAATAGACTGCATGATAGTGATTATATGATTCGTTACATCATGAACTTAGTGTGTGAATTCTCTTACTAGGGACGAGAAGAAGACCCGCATGAAGGCAAAATGTGAGCATTTTAATTTTATTTTTAAATATATATTGTAGAGTGACTAATTTGAAACTTCAGTCTTGAAGCAGCCTGCCTTTTGGAAAGCCAACTCTAATAGTTCTTTCTGGATTTAAGATTTTTTTGTATATCCTTTGCTAAGGATGACATTCGCTGTAAAGAAGTTTTGTGTCTTAAATGGCACTTACACTTCTTATTAGTTGGTGTTATGGTGGATGAACCTGTATGATGAGCCCTGTGGAGATGGGTGAAAATCACTCCAAAAACTCGTTAGGGATTATCATTTGAACATAGAAGTTAACATACTAGAGCAAATGTTTTACTTAAATCCCCTTCAAATTGTTTTGGTCTTGGGAAGAGAACAATTTCCGTCACTAGAAAAATATGGTTTTGTATTTTCTAGTCTGGTACTTCAATTGCATTTGAGTAGGGTTAGTTTCTTGTGATGACGATTAGCATTATAGCAATTGGGTTTCTGTTTTAAATTGCTTGTTCATTTAACAGTTATAGGTAAAAATCAGAAAATGTCAAGTAATATTTTTATCAAGAATCATAAACCTATTAATTGTGGCAAAAATTGTGTATTCTGTCACACAAAGAACCACTTGGAGAAGGACAACTAAATTTTGCAGCAACATCTTCAAATACTTAGTTCTTTTGATTAGCCTCAGGATCATTTGTCACCGTTGCAGGTGCTGGTACCTGGAGCATCACCAGATTTAATAATATTTGAAAGGCTAATGCTTGAAGGCATTTCTAGTTTTCTTAGGAGACGAGAAGGAATTGCTGTTGTGGGGTTGCAGCTCTTTGAACTCTGCTGGCAATTCTTTTAGCCATTTTGTCTTTAATGCCTCAGTAGTTTCAGGGGTTTAGGTTGTAGTTTCATCATCTTTATTTATAGAGATAATCCCATTCACCTATACCGTTCATGGAAGGTGCGTTAAGCCTTGTCACCTTCAGGTCACGTACCTGATGCTCATGCTGTCTATAAGATTCTTTTGAAAAGGATTCCAGTAACAAGAGGTTGTCCATTTAAAAGATGACCTGGAAAGGAAAATACCAATAAAGTCTATTTTATTTTTATCAAACTCTCTTTAGAGAGAGAACAAATATACAAGAATTGTTTTTATTAGAGTTAGGGACCTTGTCTATGCGCAGACAAATTTTGCCGCATCCTTGCATGAGTGCTAGAAATGCTGTATGAATAGAAAAGGGTAGGTTTTGAGAACCTTCCCTTCTTCTTTGACCCACAAGAAGTCAGTACCCTTCTCCATGTGGGTTTTCTGTATACCCACATCTTGTCAGTTTCAGAACTCTAGATAAAGGCACTTGGATTTGTCATGATGCTGTTTTGCCATACACAGGGCTGTACAGATTAAGTAGCAATAATGGAATTGTTCTGAAGTTCTTATGTAGCTTGATTCATGATTCTTTCTCTAATTTTTGGGGAAAATCACAATGCCAGTTCAGCCATGGACCAGTCCACTTCCATGCATCTTATTACAAATTTTTAGTTTCACTTGCATGTAACTTTAGATGTATTATCGAAAAACTGTATCATTGAGTAGCATACTTTTGTGGGTGACTTGATCTATTTAGGTCTTTAAAAAGAGATTAATTCATATCAACAATCATCACAGAAACAAAAAAGAAAGCTCCAACAGTCTTGCTTATTACTCTCTTCTTTCTTAAGATGGTTCCATGGGAAGATCTCCAAACAAGAAGCTTACAGTTTGCTGATGACAGGTACTTGTCTTTTATTGATGGGGTTAGGATTTTAAGGTGTTTGGAATAGGGTTATCTGTGAACAGCGTTCAGCAGAAGGAACTCCAGGTCCTGACTAGGGACGTTGGTGGCTGGCACAATAAATGCATGTTAAATGAGCTAAATATTAGGATTGCTATTTATTAATATTGTAAAACAGTTACGCTGTCAGATACTGTTGATTTTATACTTTCAG